CTGCTTGGGTCCATTTGATTGGAAAATCTTTTCCCAACCTTTAACTCTGAGGTACCATATGTCTCTGAAGTTGAGGTGTGCTTCTCGTATGCAGCAGAAGAATGGATTATGTCTTTGTATTCATTCTGTTACCCTGAGTTTTTTTTCTTGTATAAAAAGTTGTTTTTCGTTTTTATTTAAATTAAAAACAAGGTTGCTTCACATGTCATTCCCAGCTCCCTCTCCTTCCCCTGCTTCCATGCCCTCCCACCAATCCCCCCAGGCCCCCACCCAAGCCCCACTCCATTCCCCAGGGAGGGTGAGGCCCTCCATGGGGGATATCCAGAGTCTCATTTCATTCAGGGTAGGGACTAGACCCTCCCGCAAGAGTTCAGTCTGAGAAAGCATCCCTTATTTTGGGATGGGCACCCAAAGTCTGTTTGTATGCCATGGATAAATACTGGTCTCAAGATTACATATATTTTTAAACATTTAGAGGGATTTTTTCTGAATCTGTCTTTAATGTATATACCTTTTCTAACAATATGCATCTTTAATCTGTTAAATAACATGGTTAGGATTAAAGTAGATGTTGGCTGCTTTCTACACTCAGTTCAGCTTTCCAAAATGATGATGGTTATGTTTACTATCAGCTCTGGGAGCTGTGCTCACAGTCTCAACTCTGGTCTATGCCGTCATCAAGCAGCTTCTAGCACACTTTCCATAAACCTTTTTGTCTGTATCAGTAAAAGTTAATCTGTCATGCAGCATGCCGAAGGACAGCTTCTGTGTACTGTGGTAGGAACCTGCCATGCTGTACTCAAGCCTGATTGGCAAAGCATCTCTGCACCATGACTCACATGATACTATGAGACTAGAAAGCCCACTGAGGTTCCATTTCTCTGTATTCAAAAATTTTTAAGCTTTTGTCATGTTTTACTGGAAATTCTTGCTAAATGTTTGAGTACCTTTTATACACAGAAGTTTCTGTCCTGCCTGGCCCATGATTCTTTTAGTCCCAAATAAACACACAGAGGCTTATATAAGTAATAAACGGTTTGGTCAATGACTCAGGCTTCTTATTGACTAGTTCTCTCTTAATTATTTCCCTTAACTATATATTGGCACTGTAACTCATTTCCTTTAAACTATGTATTGGCACAAGGATATGGCTTACCTATATGCATGTCAAGCTTTAGATGGCTGCATGGTGTCTCTCTAGCAACTCACCTCTGTTTTCCTCTTCCCAAAACTCTCCTAGTCTGATAGCCCTGCCTACACTACCTGTGTTGCTACATCCTGCTTGTCCATTGACCAAAATGGCTTTATTCATCAACCAATAAGAGAAAAATACATTGACAGCATACAGAAGGACATCCCCCATTAGGCTACTGCTCAAGCTCCAGGCATGTAGCCATGCTTCCTGCCATCACAATAATCTCTAAAACTGTAAGTATTCTCCCAATTAAATACTTTCTCTTATAATAGTTACCTTGGTCATGGTGTCTCTTAACAGAAATACAACAGTAACCAAAGCAGCAAGTAAACATCAAAAGATAATTAATAACCAGTTTGAAAATCTCATTGCAATAAATTGAGTAATCTATGAGAGATTTGCAAATTTCTACAGTTAGCAATGTCTTTTATGAAAGGGAGATTATATTTTTTTTATTTTTATAAAGCTATATAGTCTGTCTTGGTCATGTCCATCCTTACCCTCTCCTTACAGCTTCCCAAATATCTCCCATCTTCATCTCAACTTTATGTTTTTGTTTTGTTTTGTTCTCATCCACTAAATCCACTTATTATTTCTCTGTCTTGTGTTTCCTTCATATTTGACTCAAAGTATAAAAAGAGTTAGCATATTATAATGAAAAACTAGGATTTTCAAATACAAAAGGTTGTTGTGGAATTTAGGAAATAGGGCCATTTGTTGCTCGTGAATAGGAAATTTGTATTCTCTACTGGCTAAACTAGATACAGTGACTAGGACCAGTGTCCCTAAAGAAAGGAAAGGTGATTATCTTTACTTTTCTGAGAAATTTGTATAATTCAGGAAGAATTTTGAATGTAAGCAAAAAGAAGGGAAACAATTTGGTAAGAAGACACACAGCCACAAACTTGCATGGTGAACATTAAATCAAGATATGTGTGTGTGTGTGTGTGTGTGTGTGTGTGTGTGTGTGTGTGTGTGTGTATATGTATGTATGTGAAAGGATTCTTGGAACTGGACTCACATATATAGGCACACCCATACTCTACAAGCTGTCTGGATGTTTTAAAGCCTTCATGGTCACTAGATTTATATCTCAAAATTGTCTTACTTATAATAAACATTTTTGATTTTTCAAAGTTTCTAGATTCTCCATTTTTGTCTTAATTCACTTTGACAACTTTCTCTAACTAACAAACTACAAACCCTTTTCTGTTTGGGGGTTTTTAGCTTATTTTTAATTCTAATGAGGAAACACTTATAGTACATGTCTTAGTTAATGTTCTGTTGCTGTGAAAGGACACTATGGCCATACGAAATCTCATAAAATAAAGCATTTAATTGGAACTTGCTTACAGTTTCAGAGGTTTAATCCATGATCAGCATGGTGGGAAGTATCACCACTTGCAGGCATAGTACTGAAGCAAAAACTGAGAGTTGTGCGTCTGGATACTCAGGCAGCAAGTAGAGACACTGGACATGACTTGAACATTTGAAAACCCAAACTATACCCCCAGTGATATACTTCCTGCAACAAGGCCATATGTACCAATCTTCTAATCCCTCTCATGCAGCATCATTCCCTAATATATGAGCTTCTTGGGGACCATTCCTAATCAAACCACCACAGTACCGTTGTATGTTTTATTTATATAGATTTATATATATCCTATATTTAATATATTTGTATCAATATATAAATATCAAACTATATTTAAATATATAATATTTTACATAAATAAACAATAATTAAATCTATCAGTTAGACACATAATATGGAAAATAAAATATAACATAATATATATAAAATATATATGCTTCATATAAATCTATATAACATATTCAAATAGTTACATCATTGATCACCACACTCTTTCTAACCTCTCATACCTTCCTAAACACCTTTTCATATTCACAGACTTCTTTAATTATTACTGCTACACATATAAACATATGTCTATTTAAAAATATAAAAGACACACATGCTGAGTTTGTTTCATGTTGTTTGTGTGTAAATGATTTCAGGGATGACCACCTGGCACTGAATAAAAATGAGAGATAACATCCCTTATGCCAACAATTCTTCCACTATCAGGATTCTTTATTTCCTGTAGTATTTCGTATATTCAAATATGATTTTAAATCAACACCAGTAAAGAAAAATATCTTGGAGTATCAGTATGTCAGTGTTCATTATTACCCAAGCAATGAATGACAGGGGTAGAAACAATCTTTCTATTCATGACAACAGGTGGGGTGGACTCCAGGAGATGCATGCACATACCCCAGCCACCACTTTCAAGTAACCATGGCTAATGCTATTGTCATTTTCCCTCCATTATTTCACCTCAACCAAAATACTGTCTGTCTAATAACAACACACAACCACAAAGCACTCTGGTGTATGAGGTTTTTTTCTTTCTTTATTTATTTAATAAAACATTCATCTGTATTCTAATGAGAAAGAAACAGAAAGTGTGTGAATTTGGGTAAGTGGAGAGCTGGGAAGAGATTTGGAAGGGGACACTGCAATCAGAATATAATTTATTAAAAAAACTATTTGAATTAAATTCTTCAAAAATATTGATAAAATTCTCAGAATTTCCTCGCAACAAGGAACATGCCTCCTCCATAAGCAGCATCACCTATGTAGTGATGACACCTTGACTCCTGTATGTGCGTGCATTAAACCATCTATGTTTTTGCATGAATATAGATGTATCTGCAAACATTTAAGTGTGTAAAAGAATGGTTCTTTCATGGCCCTGCACCCTATTCATAAGACAGGGTCTTCCTGAACCTGGTGGGGGCTCTGAGCTTTGGGCTCTGAGCTGTGGGCATGTTTACAAGTATGGTCTCAACCCTTCCCTATCTAGTGCCAGGATTGATGTTAGACAACTGATGCTCCAAGCCTCTTCTGTGAGGGATGACAATTTATTTTTCTTTTATTTTCAACATTATAATATAATTATATTATCTTTCCTCCCTCCACAACTTCCCATATGTCCCACTTGCTCTTTTTCAATTGATTGTGTGGCATGTATTTATATATGAGTATAAACGTGAGCATATTTTGTGAAACAATTCTGCCATTGTTTAAAATGGTAATAATAATATTTTCAGTAAAATTGTATATCAATATATATAAACTTGACTTCTTTGTGTAAAACAGCTCTACCATGATTTGTAATAAAGTCAGTTCAGACTTGTCCATATGAGCATCTATCATCTCAGGGACACTGTATAGCATGTGCTCATTTCACAAACTTTGGGATGTTGTCTAAAAAAATAAATAACAGGAAAAAGTATCTGATACCCCTGGGAATTTACAAATTTCTGACTACTGCATTTTGAAATTCATAAATTATTCCCATTCATGATGGAGTAATAAAAGGAACGATTTCAGCTCTTTGTACAATCCACTGAAAGATGTACATTAGGTACTCTATTGAAAACATTTTGCAATAAGTGAAATCAATACATTTAATCAAACGTGAAGTAAGTAATGATTTTCAATAACAGGACGGTTATACCAGAAGTTCCTGAATGGCAATTACAAATCATGTTTACATAAATGAATCAACCTCAAAATTACACTTCAATGAGTCAAGAATATCTAATAACACCATGCTTCTGCAGCGCTCCCATTTAGGGCATTCATCTGTAAGTTGCAACAAAAAAGGAGAAAATTTAAAAACATTGTAGGATTTCCTTCATATTTTCTGTAAGAATTTTACATTTCTGAAAGGAAAATAAGGATCTTTGTGATTAGCTCTAATTTCAGGTAAGTTTACAGAAACTAACTTACCTGAATCATACATATTTTCAATAGGGATTTCATACTCTTGTGTCAGCTTCACGTAGTCTTTCCAAACTTTTTCAGTGATATTTTCCCCTTTCTGCATTTCATAGAGGAAATGTCAGGAGATATGTTCGTTATAATCACATTTAAACGTCTGAATTCAGCAAATTGTCACCAGTTGGTAAATCCTGCTGCCTTGTCCCATCCTCCATAGTGATGATGCCAGTAGACAAATCATTCTGAAGTCAGGTCAAACATTCTTCGTGTGGATAAATACATAAATTTTCACCCCATTTATGGATAAGATGTTGACTTAAAATCCAAGAATATTACATTATTTTCCTGTACAATTCAACTCAAATTTCACACAATCATGATTGCGTTTGAAAACACATGAGTGAACACTTTCCTACACCAGTGTATCATACAGCAAAATGCAAGGACTCAGCTGTGTTGCAAGTAACAAACAGAAAAAAGTTTCCTCATCTGTGAGATTTACATACCCAGTGCTGCAGTCAGGCTCTGCTTATACCCCAAATCATTAAGAAAATGGGCTACAAATAGGATGGTGGTGTTCAAGAAAAATTGTATTGAAATATAAAATCTGCTTAGGCCTAGGAAGAAATAATTTATCCTTCATTAGTACATGATATAGATTCTCCAACTTACTCATTTATTGTTTATTTTGAGATTTTAATATAGTTATATCATTTCGCCACTTCCTTTTTCTCTTTGTAATTGTAATGTATACATCTCAACAACCTCCTTCAGAGCCATGCCCTTTTTTCACTTATTATAATCACATGCCTATATTCATTGCATTATTATATAAAAATTACATATTACTTTATGTATTATATGCAGTAGTAATTCATAAGATAAATGTAATATATATTTATTCATAAATATAACTCATTGAGGCCACATGTTAGTTTATGTAGCTGCTATTTATTTTTAATTCTATTATTTCTAAAACATTACTGTCAAAAATTCTTTCATAATAATCCAAATATCGTTAAGACACTACAAATATATTGCCATTTTAGTAGTAAATTATTCAGTCAGAGAAACATTCCCTTGACTTTTAACATAAAATACAAAAGTCATGAATATGCCTATACCTGACCATCTCTAATGATCAAAAATTCTATTTATTTATTTGTTTTGTGTTTGGTTGGTTGGTTGGTTGTGTTTGGACCACGTAGCAAGACACATCTGTGCATTTTTTCTTCATGGTATGGAAAACTAATAATGGATATTTTACTCATTTCTTTCTCTGTGCCCCTCAGGCGCCAGGTAATAGTATATTTGCGGAAAATCACGATAGGCATCACGCAACAGCCATTTTCCAATAATGTTCTGGGACCCCCTGTTTTTGCAATCTACAACAGCAAAATTCCCTATAACATGGGCCACAATGGAACAGTTATCTACAAAAGAAGCTCCTGGTAAAGATTTGATTGTTAATATAAAATGTAAATAATACCATCAGTACTCAGAGATACTCACCTTTTGTAAAGCATATCTTATATCTAGGTTTATCTGTCCAGACTGTATGTCGTTGACACTTGCCGTTTTTTCTAAGCTCAAAATGAAAAATAATAATCACTCATTATTTAGCACTTATCATCTCATGTGTTCTTCTACCTCTATAAGAATAAACTTGCTGAAAGTGAAACATGTTCATGGTTGTGTCCCTGTGTTCTGTTTGTAAATATTTTCATTAACAGAACTTTTGATTGGTGATTCCTTTCAGGTGCGGGCCAATTTTCTGTGCTCATTGGGATGTGTGCATGAAAATGGGCCTCAGGCCCATAATTGACAGGATTTCCCTCCTCAAAAATAGAAGTCAGTGATCATATCGATGCAATGGTAGGTATGAAATTATATGGATGGTATTCATGAGGAGGAACATTTTTCATGGTGAGGTAATAAACACTGCTTTTTAAAAAATTTACATGCAGATTTTCCTTTACTTATATTCACAGTTATTAGAGTCAGACATGATACCATTGTACCACAAGGCTGGCCTATAATCACATTTATTGATATTTTACTTTCAGTAAACATTAGTTTCTTTCCAAAATGTATATTTTACTCCCCAAGTTTATATTTTCACTCTTTTAATAGAAAGGAAAATTAAAACATCAAGCAATGAATGTCAAAATTTAATATTTTTAGTTGCAGTGACTAAACTCCAGCCTTCCTTGCATTATTAGTAGTTCCATATTACCTTTGCATTTCAGAAATACATTGGAAATGCTTTGAGTCCCATTTTAACAAATCATTTTTTCTACTTGAATGAACTTTTCTTACCTAACATAGAATGTCATGCTCATGACTCTGTAATCCTTAAAATACTTCACTTCACATATCAACACTTCACTTCCAACACACTGGCATATATGGGTGCTAGGTAGATGGTATTAAAATGCCCTTAAAACTAAAAATTAAAATTAATGTGAATAAATTTATTAGCCAGAGGACCTGGGTTTGAGTCCTAGAACCCACATGTTAGCACACAACCTCCTGTAACTTCATTTCTGAGGGGCCTTTGTGGGTGTTGCAAATACATAATGCAACATGGAGACCAAACACATAAAATGACAAAATTATTGAAAGTTTTAAGATAAAACAATGGTTAAAAAAACTAAGTATACTATAGATTTTCAACTAAAGAAATGGTAGTTTACATTATGATATAAAAATTTATCACATATACAATGTGATAACAGCATTAATGTGTATTTCTGTTTATACAATAAAAGTGTTACATTATTTAAAAGCACATACATTTACTTAGGCAATATAGGAAGGGCAAATGAGGCAATTATAACCCTAAAACTGAAACAAATAATTTTTAAGACATGAAACTATATTAAATACAACAAAGAATCACAGAATCACACTGACTGTCAGGTCAAAAAGTGGCAATTCACCACAGTCACTTCTGCCCCTGCAATACCCAGTGAAAGCCCATCCTTGTACCTGCAGGGGTTCCTCGGTGGCAGACACCAAACAGGTTAGAGCAGCGAGCAGAAAAATCTTCATCTTCCAGAAGTTTCTTTTGTATCTGTAGTAGAAAACCAGAGTTTTTAGCTGCCAGTGAAATGATGAACAGAAGATGAATGCAAAGGTTTTTAAATTGTATGATGTGTGATTAATCTTTTTTTCACTGTGCCTTTTATTTAGTTCTTTGTTTGTTTTTAATTTTCAGAACAGTCTGGATGTTGGTATTGCATGTGTCTGGCATTGCTTTGTTTAAACACATAGGATAATAATTCAATAGAGAATAATGTTCCTGAGTATGTCAAGGAGAGCAATGCATAACCTTTATGCTCCTCTGATTTCTAACCCCATAATTATGACAAGCTAGTTTGGTGACATTGTACAGATGAAAGAGCACAGACATCATGAAATGTCTCAAGAATGGCAAGAATGACTGGTCATATTTCCTGATTTATACATGGCCAAGATCTAAGTGCAACATGTTAATTCCTATTTTCATATTAAAATGCAATAAATATGTCTCGCTAAAATTATTTCCAAGTCCAAAAAATTTTCGTGCTTAGAAAATGCTTATATTGGATAGCAATATCTCAGATTCAGGTTAAATGAGTCCCACAGATGGGTCTGTATTCACTTTGTTGTGAGCACTGAAATGCAGAGATATGAAGATAATTTATTTAATTCTTGCCAAATGATAATTTCTCCTACTTTGTATATGAGTAATCCTCAGACACATGACTTTACTCATTTTAAACCTCTGTGTATATGCAATTTTGTTTTTCTCTACTCACTTCCAAAATAAATATTTTAAAAACATATCGGACATAAAGGGTGTATATTTGAGATTATATTGTTCCTGATATATGATGCCTCCATAGTTAATTGAGCTCAATATCATATTTTGTTATATTGCATTAAAATGCTTAAGCACTGCTGGGTTGCATACTTCATGGAGGAGGTATATACATTGAAAATAAAAGGTCCTTTATGCAGCATGATTATGCTTGAAAACATATGAGTGAATATATCTCTGCACCAGTTCGATTCATGCAAATAATGGTGAAACACTATTCTTCTATGAAACAGACAGGAAACAAATTTTCTCATATAAAATTGAACATACAAAGTATTAAGAAACCCTGATTGTGTTTTTGATACAGAATACATTATAGTATTAACAAGGACAAAACAAGTTTTCCTTGATTAGACTGCAGTATGGATTCTACTGTTCAGGATTTCTAATTTTTAACACATTTCAACCATTTAACTATTTCAACCAATTGATAATAACCCCTAAGTTGCTACTGAGCCTGGGAATATCCTGCTATTTTTAATAAAGTTAAGACTCACAGGACATCTTCTGCCATCTGATGTAAAATGAATGTGTGATGTATCTTCCCACATTTGCCAGACCACAGTAAACTTTTGTAGAAAACCCTTTATAATACTCAATGAGTCAATAGAAATTACATTGACTTTTAAAAGCTGAACATTTTCTTTTAATAGTCATAATATTAAATTTTAATATTTCATTTTAACATAATATTTAATAATTTATTAAATATTTTAATTAACAATGGTAAATTTATTTTAATATATTGAATTATATGATGAATCACAGCTTTCATTTCCAAGAACACGTACATCCAGTAGGATTAAGCATTTAATATAAAATTATTTCAAATTTTGCTTATTCTCAGGAATTATAGTGATGATAGAAATGATAGTTCATATTTTGACATTAGATGACACAACATAAATTTATCATAAACTGCTATGTGATTAAACAATAAAAATCCCACTGTAACATTCCAAATTATCTAAGTCTTAGGGAAACACTTGATAAAATCTCATTCTTTGTATTTGGTAAATTATAATAAATAATCTAGATTTCACTCAACCACAGAATACATTTTTGTTCTTAGAAAATATTTATTTTATATTATGTAGGACAAAATTTAGAGTGAATATGAACAGTATTCAGAAATAAGATGCTATTTTTTTCAGTCTCCAACATTATAGTGTGGCTATATCAGATACTCCCAGTTTTTTGTGATTTAGATTTTTGTGGGTTTTTTGTGCATTGGTGTTTTACCTACACCTATGTCTGTGTGAGTGTTTGGATACAGTGGAATTGGAGTTATATACAGTAGTGAGCTGTGATATGGATGAGTCCTCTAGCAGAACAGGTAGTTTTCATAACCATTAAGCTATCTCTCTAGCCCTTATTCTCAGTTTTTTTCTTCTTCAGGGATTGGTATTATCAAAGTCATGTTCGATGTCAACAGGATGCCACAACTACAAAAAAGTGGGGGGGGGGCACATTGCAACCTCAATATAGTCAAATGGAACCCTACTCATTAAAAAATTAATTCAAATTACCCCAAAAAGCAACTATATTTTTAAACATGTTTATATATTCAGCCAACAAATTTAAATGGTTAACAAGAAAAAGTACATATTCAGAGATGTGGTTTTGATGTTTAAAGCAGGCAACTGCTTGAGCATTTCTATAGATTCAAACATCAATCTCTTGGCCTGTGATATTCATGCCATTCATCATCTGGTAGGTTCTATCAGCCACTTCTGGAGACCCAAACTTAACCACACCCGACCACTTGGACTTTTCATTCTCAATCCTGATGTTGGTCTATAGCACATTCATTGAATTTGTCCTTTAGCATCTTCCATGTGAAGTCAAATGGGAGTCTAGCAGTTTTTCCTGGTTACTCCAGGTGCACGGCCTGTAGCTCTGCAAAGGAACCTGTGACACTTCCTCCAAAGTTGCACTGCTCCATCTCAATGACTCAGTAAAACCTAGCACCTCCAGCGCCACCTATGGCCAGGCCCATTCTCTCAATGCCAGTGCCCATCACAGGGCTCATACACTCCAGACTGTTGGCACCCATTTGTTCCAGGACAATTAGGCTCTAAACTTTTGACTCCCAGGTCTTCCAGTCTATTGCCTGTATGATCTATCACAGGGCCCATGCACTCAGTCTGGCCCCCATGCCTATGGGTACCATTTGATCCATTGTTTATGATCTAAAACAGCCACCAGAGATCAGTTTGCAAAGCCAGCCACACTAGTTAACTATAAAAAAGGACATTAGTGGCATATCCTTTTAATCCCAGGACTCGGGAGGAAGGCAGATGGATCTTTGAATCCAAGGCACCCTGAGCTACCAGAGAATGAATCAGAGCTCACACCTTTGATTCCATGATTTGAGAATTATAAAAGGTAGAGGCATTCAGTCTGAGAGTTAGTCTCAAGCCATGTGGAGGAGAGCATAGCAGTCTGAGTGAATCTGAGGAACAGTGAAGTTGGGAGGAGTCTTAGGATCGCCTTTTTGGTCTGAGCATAGGTAGAGGTAAGAGCAAATTACTAGTTGTTTTGCATTTCTGATCGTCAGCTTGAAACTCGAACCTCAATATCTGTCTCTGGGTCATTTATTAATCGTGTTACAGTCCATGCTCAGGTCCACGTGTCCGACGGCAGGGTACATGCTCTCTACACCAGAATCCATGTGCTCAATGGTTTGGTTCACTCAGTCAGTGAGTGCAGCCATGCAGCCATGATCTGGCCCATGCTCAATATTGAAGGCCATGAGGTCAAGACATAGTGTGCACATACGGTCAACTGAGCAGATGCAGTCCATGACCAGGTCAATATGTTTAATCTCAAGAGTCCATACAATCAATGTGATCCATGTCAGCACCACCAATATGGTCAATGCCAGGGCCCATCCTCTCAATCCCAGGGACACTGCCTCCAACTCCACCTCCTCCCTGCTTTGCAATGATCTCTTCTCTCTCTAATGCATTATTTAGGATTTCATTTTTTCCAACCATGTTCATCCCAGATTCAAACTGCCCAATGTTTTCTATCCTACCACCAAAGGTCCTTCCATGCCTCCAATTTTATTTATTCCAAATCCTATGCCTTCCATTCCCATTCCTGCAGGCCCTAGGTTTCCCATTCCAGTGCCTTTGTTCATGTGGTTGACATCAATATACTGCCTTTCAGGTCCTAACAACATGTCAGTACCAACATTCTATGGTATGGTCGTTCAGGGGGAAAACTCTCCTTTTGGTATAGCCCTCTCATGCATTTTGATGTGAATTGATCTATCAAACAGCAGATGGTTATTAAACATAGATATAGTTTGCATAACTTCAATGAATTATTCAAAAGTCACAGTGTCTATTCCATGACATTATCCATCTTTATCATCCAGAGTGTCTGCTCAGACCACCACACCAGCTATACCAAACACTTCCTTCAGTTTCTTCCAAACAATTTTATAACCCAGATTTGCTACAAATGCGTGCTTCCAAGTCGTCCAGCCTGTAATGCATGGATAATCTTATTTGTGATGTTATGGCTATTAAGGATACTGGGTGGGATATTAATCATTCCTCAGCCACCTGGTCCCATACCCATCCTATCAGTTGTTGGCATGAAACTTTGCATTGCTATACTTGCATGTTCACCATTAGGATCTTCTTTGCCTTTCAATGCTCTTCCACTCAGACTATGCTAGTTTAAAACTTCAGCAGCTTTTCTCATGCTCTCTTCAACAACAGTACATCCCCTTGACTTTTTCCTTCAGTGTTCATTAAGAGCTCCATATATGTTTCCTCACCAACTGTTTCTTTAACCAGGTCATGATGTGACTGCCATTTCACATCAAAAGGTACATTGATTATGAAGACTGTATCTTTTAGTTGGATCGATAAATGACTCAAGTTATTGCCTCCTCTTCTCATGTTTTTCTCCTTCCTTTTCTCATTCTGAGTAGGTCGTTCTCCCTCACTCTTCGGGCCTGGAGCTCCAATGCTGCTCAGTACATGGGGCACACAGCTCCCTTCCTCCATTTTGGGCTCTGTCCCTGGCACTCGGCTTGGCATTTCAACCTCTGACTCCATCAACTGAACTGACAAGTCAGAAAGAGCCTTCCTGAACTGAGGAAATTCTGACAGCCTGTGCTATTTTTAAGAGTGTGAGTAGGGGGCTTGTTGACCATCTTTGTTATGAAGTCATTGCCCCAAACTGCTGTCATTGGATATGAGGAACTTCTGTGATTCTT